AGGTAGGGCACGATGAAGTAGCGGAGCTCCAGCAGCCGCTGGGGAACCGTGGCCAGCGTGTGCCGCCAGGCTCTGGTTTTTACCCGGAATTTACTCACGTTTTTACCCGGAATTTACTCACGTTTTTACCCGGAATTTACTCTGAAAACTCTGGTTTTTACCCGGAATTTACTCATGTTTTTACCCGGAATTTACTCACGTTTTTACCCGGAATTTACTCTGAAAACTTCGATTTTTTCCCCTAAATTTCTTCCCAAAAATCAGATTTTTTCCCCTAAATTTCCTCCCAAAAATCAGATTTTTCCCCCTAAAATTCCTCCCAAAAATCTGATTTTTTCCCCTAAATTTCCTCCCAAAAATCTGATTTTTTTCCCCTAAATTTCGTCCGAAAATTTCATTTTTTCCCCCTAAATTTCGTCCGAAATTTTCATTTTTTCCCTTAAATTTCCTCCCAAAAATCTGATTTTTTCCCCTAAATTTCGTCCGAAAATGTCGTTTTTTCCGCCTAAATTTCGTCCGAAACTTTAATTTTTTCCCCTAAATTTCCTCCCAAAAATCAGATTTTTTCCCCTGAATTTCCTCCCAAAAATGGGATTTTTTCCCCTAAATTTCCTCCCAAAAATCTGATTTTTTCCCCTAAATTTCCTCCCAAAAATCAGATTTTTTCCCCTAAATTTCCTCCCAAAAATCGAATTTTTCCCCCTTTTTTCCGCCTGAAAACGCTTTATTTCCCCCCTTTTTCCGCCTGAAAACGCTTTATTTCCCCCTTTTTTCCGCCTGAAAACGCTTTATTCCCCCTTCACCACATGAGCCTCTGGGGGGCGCTGCTCTCCGGCCACTGGAAGGTCCAGCTGAGGAAGACGTGGACGGCGGCGGCGTTGAGGGCGGCGTGCAGCAGCAGCTCCAGCAGCAGGCGGGGCGGCGAGGGCAGCGGCGAGGCGTGCAGCCGGAACATCAGGTAGGGCACGATGAAGTAGCGGAGCTCCAGCAGCCGCTGGGGAACCGTGGCCAGCGTGTGCCGCCAGGCTCTGGTTTTTACCCGGAATTTACTCACGTTTTTACCCGG